CGTTCCTCAGTCGTTGCGCCCAGGAAGGGTTCCTGTTCCCCTGTCTAGCCCAGGAAGGGCTCCTGATCCCCCGTCAAGCCCAGGGAGGGCTCCAGATCCCCAGTCAAGCCCGGGGAGGGCTCCAGCCCCAGAGCCCGCTCCAGTGTCGGCTACAGCCCCAGAGCTCGCTCAAGTGCCCGCTCCTCGTAAGCGCTTTCCAGAGCGCCATCTAGTGCCCGCTCCTCCAGAGTGCCCTCATGTACCCGCTCCTCCAGAGCGCCCCCCAGTATTCCTAGATTTCCTCAAGAAAATTTTTTTTGGGGGGTGGGGCACTAGACATATACCCGTTGCCTCCTGTGTCCCCAGATCCGCCATGGCCTCCTGTGTCCCCTGATCCGCCATGGCCTCCTGTACGTCTGTTCTCCCTGCTACGTATGCGTCTTGCCTCTATGTCTCTTTATTTGGATGAATAAAGATGGTTCTATTCCTCATTCCTACACAGTAGCAGTAGCCGAATCTTGACACACGCCTCTTACCTCTAAGTGGAACGTATTTGTGTGTCTTGATTCATTGGTTATTTCAGGGTGGCGTTGTCGCTACAAACGAGCCACTTGCTACACACAGATCAAGCACTATTCACAAGTGAAAACAGTTCTTAACAAATACGCAGATGGATTCTGATGTGAAAGGACAACAGGGGATGCATTTTTTTTTTCACTGGAGGAAGCATTATTTTGGTCAGAAGCGACGGTTTGAAGTTAAAATGCATTATTGATGGAATTGTTTTTTAAAAACACACAGCTTTTCACTTCACAATACATTCATTGATGGACTGGAGTCGTGTGGATTACTTGTGGATTGTTGTGATGGTTTTTATCAGCTGTTTGGACTCTCATTCTGACGGCACCCATTCACTGTAGAGGATCCATTGGTGATCAAGTAATTTAATGCTACATTTCTCCAAATCTGTTCTGATAAATAATTGCAAACTCACATTTAGGTATCTAAATGCATTTTTCATGATATAATGAATTTATGTCCTACATTATTCTCTCTGTTAAATATTCTGTTTTACTTGGAAAATACAGTATGTCACATTATGGAAGTACAATGAGTTGATTTATACTCCATTAAAAAAAAGAGGGAAAAATAACAGGTGGAGGATAATCATTTTTCAAACCAGATTGTTGAAATCCTTTATTTGGACCACTACTATGAATCCTCTTAGTCCCTAGACATTAAGGCAGAAGGACAGTCAGACAGCCAAGACCCGATGAGCAGAAGATTTGAGCATTATGGAAGGTAAAATTAAATATAAGTGTCTTATGCTCAGATTGTCGGCTAAAGGGCTTTGGAAAGTAAGTCCCAGAGGATCCCGTTCCTCAGTCACGGCCAGGAGGGCCGTTCCCAGTTCCCGTGTTTAGCCCAGGAAGGGCTCCTGATCCCCCGTCAAGCCCAGGGAGGGCTCCAGATCCCCAGTCAAGCCCGGGGAGGGCTCCAGCCCCAGAGCCCGCTCCAGTGTCGGCTACAGCCCCAGAGCTCGCTCAAGTGCCCGCTCCTCGTAAGCGCTTTCCAGAGCGCCATCTAGTGCCCGCTCCTCCAGAGTGCCCTCATGTACCCGCTCCTCCAGAGCGCCCCCCAGTATTCCTAGATTTCCTCAAGAAAATTTTTTTTGGGGGGTGGGGCACTAGACATATACCCGTTGCCTCCTGTGTCCCCAGATCCGCCATGGCCTCCTGTGTCCCCTGATCCGCCATGGCCTCCTGTACGTCTGTTCTCCCTGCTACGTATGCGTCTTGCCTCTATGTCTCTTTATTTGGATGAATAAAGATGGTTCTATTCCTCATTCCTACACAGTAGCAGTAGCCGAATCTTGACACACGCCTCTTACCTCTAAGTGGAACGTATTTGTGTGTCTTGATTCATTGGTTATTTCAGGGTGGCGTTGTCGCTACAAACGAGCCACTTGCTACACACAGATCAAGCACTATTCACAAGTGAAAACAGTTCTTAACAAATACGCAGATGGATTCTGATGTGAAAGGACAACAGGGGATGCATTTTTTTTTTCACTGGAGGAAGCATTATTTTGGTCAGAAGCGACGGTTTGAAGTTAAAATGCATTATTGATGGAATTGTTTTTTAAAAACACACAGCTTTTCACTTCACAATACATTCATTGATGGACTGGAGTCGTGTGGATTACTTGTGGATTGTTGTGATGGTTTTTATCAGCTGTTTGGACTCTCATTCTGACGGCACCCATTCACTGTAGAGGATCCATTGGTGATCAAGTAATTTAATGCTACATTTCTCCAAATCTGTTCTGATAAATAATTGCAAACTCACATTTAGGTATCTAAATGCATTTTTCATGATATAATGAATTTATGTCCTACATTATTCTCTCTGTTAAATATTCTGTTTTACTTGGAAAATACAGTATGTCACATTATGGAAGTACAATGAGTTGATTTATACTCCATTA